ACTCGTCTGGGCAACAGAGTGAGACTCTAACTCAAAAAAAAAAAAAAAAAAAAAATTACTTTCACTTAGGGAATACAACACAGATACAATACTATTATCAAAGTTCCAGGCCATATTTCTATTTCTCCAACTGTCCAATTCATTTCTTTTATGAGTGTTTTTTCCTTACAATCCAGGATCCAATTCAGGATCACACATTGCATCTATTAAAACCTGTCACATCTCTATAGTCTCCTTTAATCTGGATCAGTTCCCAGTGGTAAATTCTTTGTAAATTCTAAGAAGTGTTTTCCAAACATTTTAAAAGTAGAATTCACAGTTTAAAAAAAATTAAACTACTTCGTGACTCAGTACATACGTACAATTATATTTAAAATACACATACTCTTTTAGAGCTTACAAAATATTTGCCAATGTTTACCTAAAAACCAGAGGTTTTTTTTTAGTCGGAGGCTCACTCTGTCACCCAGGCTGGAGTGCAGAGGTATGCTCATGGCCACCACAGCCCTGACCTGCTGGGCTCAGGTGATCCTTCCACTTCAGCCTTCCAAGTAGCTGGAACTACAGGCCTGTGCCACCACACTCAGCTAATTTTTTGATTTATTGTAGAGATGAGGTCTTGCCAAGTTGCCCAGACTGGTCTCAAACTCGTGGGCTCAGGCAATTCTCTCACCTCGGCCTCCCAAAGTGCTTGGATTATAGTCATGAGCCATCGTGCCCAGCCAAAACTTACTTCTTGATACATAGCTTAAACAGCCTGGGAACCCCCTGACCTGGCAAACAGTTTATGGCCTGCAGTATGTTGCCCCAAAACTCTAACTGATGTGTGCTTAATAAACTGGAACCAAACACTGTGGCTGCTTCCTTTCCTTATAAGCTGTAGAGTCCCTGCACCTCTGCAGCTCTCCCCCAAAACTGGGTCTCCTGGCCTCATCTGAGCCCATTCTGCACCCAGCCGGCCCTCTGGGCAGCCCTCACCTTTCTTCTTGTCCACAGCCTCTCGCTCAGTGGGTCGCCCACCCCCAGACAGGCGGAAGGAGCCCTCGCGGGCAAAGCTGGTGCGGCTGGCATCGAAGGCAGCCGTCACCCCACACTCCTTCTCCCGTCGCTGTTTTCGTTCCAGGCAGGCAGCAAAAGCACAGCCCACGGCGTGGCTCAGCCTCTCGCCCTGTGGAGAAAGATTGGGCAGGTTTAGAGACCCTGTGCTATACACAGGGGTACTGCGTTCTAGTGGCAAGGTGCTGGGTGACCCCAGGTGAGCCCCTTGACTTTTCTGGGCATCAGTGCTCATCTGCACGGAGAAGGGTTACAAAGGACGGCTCTGAGTCAAAGAAGTCAGAAACAAACGAGCGGCTGCTGCATGGCTCCACCTACCTGAAATTCTACAAGAGGTAAAACTCATCTATGGTGAAAAACGTCAGAACAGTGGACTTTTCTGGGGGTCGGCAGGGAGGGTTGACTAGAAAGGGCCATGAGGGGATATCTGGGGCAGTGGCAGTGTCCTAGATCTTGATAGGGGTTGGTTACACAGGTGTATACAGTTGCCAAAATTCACTGAATGTACACTGAATGCTTGCATATAGAATTGCTATGGACTGAATTTTTGTTTGCTTGTTTGTTGTTTTGAGTTGGAGTCTCACTCTGTCGCCCAGGTTGGAGTGTAGTGGCACGCTCACAGCCATCACAGCCTTGACCTACTGGGCTCAGGTGATCCTTCCGCCTCAGCCTTCCAAGTAGCTGGAACCACAGGCATGTGCCACCATGCCCAGCTAATTTTTTAAAATTTATTGTAGAGATGAGGTCTCGCCAAGTTGCCCAGGCTAGTCTTGAACCCGTGGACTCAGGCAATCCTCTCACCTCAGCCTCCCAAAGCACAGGATTACAGGCTGAGCCACCGAGCCCGGCTCAACCTGCTGGGCTCAGACAATCCCACCTGGCAACTTGGCTCACGCTTGTAATCCCAGCATTTTGGGAGGCAGAGGTGAGAGGATTCCCAGGGGTTCAAAACCAGCCTGGGAAACTTGGCAAGATCTGTCTCTACAATAAAACAAAATATTAGCCAGGTGTGGTGGCTCATGCCTGTTGTCCCAGCTACTTGGAAGGCAAAGGTGGATGGATTGCTGAACCTAGCAGTTTAAGGCTGCAATAGCTGTGATGGTGCATTGCATTCCAGCCTGGGCAACAGATTAAGACTCTGACTCAAAGAAAAAAATAACAAAAAAACTTACAACTCAATAACATAAAGTACTCAACCCAATTTAAAAATGGGTAAAGGACTTGAAGAAACATTTGTCCAAAGAAGGTATTCAAGTGGCCAATAAGCACACAAAAAGACACTTAAAATTATTAGTCACCAAGGACATACAAATCAAAACCACAAATGAGATACTACCTTACACCTACTAGGATGGTTATAATTAAAAAATGGAAAATAACAAGTGTTGGTGAGGACATGGACAAATTGAAATCCTCATATTTGCTAGCGTGAATGTAAAATGGAGAAGTTGCCGTGGAAAATAATCTGGCAGTTTCTCAGAAAGTTAAACACAGAGTTATCATATGACCCACCAATTGTACTTCTAGGTATATAACCAAAAGAACTGAAAATGGGTATTCAAACAAATACTTGCACACAAATGTCCATTGTAGCACCATTCACAATAGCCGAAGGATGAAAGCAACACAGAAGTCTATCAAGGGATAAACAGATAAACAAAATGTGGTATATCTATACAGTAGAATATCGTTCCGCAATAAAAAGGAATGAACTATGGATATATGCTACAACGCAGATGAACCTCAAAAACTACATTTGGCAGCACTCGAGACCAGCCTGGGCAGCATGGTGAGACCTTGTCTCTACAATAAATAAAAAAATCAGCAAGGCTCGGTAGCTCAGCCTGTAATCCCGCACTTTGGGAGGCTGAGGTGAGTGGATTGCCTGAGCCTGTGGGTTCGAGACCTGCCTGGGCAACTTGGCGAGACCTCATCTCTACAATAAACCAAAAATCAGCTGGGCGTGGTAGCGTACACCTGTAGTTCCAGCTACTCGGAAGGCTGAGGCGGAAGGATCGCTGGAGCCCAGCAGGTCGAGGTTTGCAGTGGCTGGGAGCGGCCACTGCACTCCAGTCTGGGTGACAGAGTGAGACTCCAACTCAAAAAAAAAAAAAAATCAGTCGGGCATGGTGGCACATGCCTGTGGTTCCAGCTACTTCAAAGGCTGAAGAGGAAGGATCACCTGAGCCCAGCAGGCCGAGGCTGCGGTAGCCATGAGCATGCCACTGTACTCTAGCCTGGGTGACAAAGTGAGACATCAACTCAAAAAAAAAAAATCCAGCCAGGTTCGGTAGCTCAGCCTGTAATCCCAGCGCTTTGGGAGGCCGAGGTGAGTAGATTGCCTGAGCCTGCGGGCTCAAGACCCACCTGGGCAACTTGGTGAGACCTCATCTCTACAGTAAATCAAAAATTAGCCAGGCATGGTAGCGCATGCCTGTAATTCCGGCTACTTGGAAGGCTGAGGCAGAAGGATCACTGGAGCCCAGTGGGTCGAGGGTGCGGTGACCAGAAGCAGCCACTGCACTCCAGTCTGGGCGATGGAGTGAGATGCCAACTCAAAAAAATAAAAAATAAAAAAATCCCAGCACTTTGTGAAGCCAAGGCAAGGGGATTGCCTGAACTCAGGGGTTCGAGACCAGCCTGGGCAACTTGGCGAAACCTTGTCTCTACAATAAATCAAAAAATTAGCCGGGCATGGTAGTGGTGCATGCAGGTGATTCCAGCTACTTGAAAGGCTGAGGTGGAAGATCACCTAAGCCCCACAGGTCGAGGCTGCAGTGGTGGTGAGCATGACACTACACTCCCACCTGGGAAACAGAGTGAGATTCCTACTCAAAAAAAAAAAGAAAGAAAAGATTACATTAAGCAAAAGAAGCCAGACACATTACATGATTTCATTAAATGAAATATCTGGAATAGGTGAATCCATAGACAGAAAGCAGACTTATGGTTGCCAGGGGTTTGGGGTGGGGGAGGGGACAGGGAGTAACTGCTTCATGGGCATGGGGTCTTCTTTAGGAGAAATGAAAACATTTTGGAACCAGACAGAGGTGACGGTTAAACAACACTGAAAAAGTACTAAGTGCCACATAATTACGCAGTTTGAAATGATTAATTTTATGTGAATTTCACTTAAAAAAAAAAAAAAAGATAAACATGGGGAATCCTGAGAATTCCAATGCCTAATGTTTAAAACTTCCCACTTCCTCAGATGTAGGAAGGAATTCATCCTACCTGACACACTTTACCCAGAGATGGTCCTACTCTTTTTCGACTCCCCAAGTAGTTTTCAAATGATAGACAGCAACTGTTCCTACTTACCGAACACTCACTCGAGGACTCTTTAGAACTTTCTGTCTGTGATTCTAATGAATGCTTCCCCAACAAACCTGTGAGAAGTCACAGCTATTATTCTCAGAGAGGAAAAGTGTCACTTGTGCCTAAGGTTGCACAGCCAGACAGCCTGACACTGAATCCAATACATTACCAATTATTTGACAGTGTATTTTCCAAAAATAACCAAAGAAATTTCTGCCCCCACATGTTCTTCCAGAACCTTGTCATTTCCCCATCAGAAATGTAGTCTATGTTCTCTTCCCATCACCCGGGGAGACCTGTCCCCTTCACTTGGGAAGTCCTCTCCCCTTCACCCAGGGAGGCCTGTCCCCTTCACCCGGGCAAGTCTCTCCCCTTCATTTGGGGAGGCCTGTGCCCTTCACCCATGGGGAGGCCTGTCCCCTTCACCTGGGGAGACCTGTCTCTTCACCTGAGGAGACTTGTCCCCTTCACCTGAGGAGACCTGTCCTTCACCTGAGGAGACCTGTCCTCTTCACCTGAGAAGGCCTATCCCCTTCAGCTGGGGAGATACCCTTCACTTGGGAAGGCCTATTTGGGGGGGCGCTACCACGCCTGGCTAATTTTTTAATTTATTATAGAGATGAGGTCTCGCCAAGTTGCCCAGGCAGGTCTCGAACCCACGGGCTCAGGCAATTCACTCACCTCAGCCTCCCAAGGTGCGGGATTACAAGCTGAGCCACCAAGCCCAGTTTGGGGTATTTTTTATATTTCATTTTAAAGATGTGGGGTACAATTCAGGATTAGTTAGACAAATGGACATTATACAGGAAAAGTTTGGGCCTCCCTTTGGTCCCCACTTTGACTGGTTTGAGATCAGATACTCTTACTGATGTTGTGTCACCCCCGCCCCATCCCAGCTATGGCCAATCTCTTAGCCATATCAGTGTCTAATCCCAGTAAGCAAAGAACACTGGTTAGTGTTGGGAACAGACTGTGGCTTCCCACCAGAGTTTTATGGAGTCTGAGGATGGGGACAGGGCAGAATAAAGATTCTATTTCCCACCATCTTTTGCAGCTAGGGATGTCCATGTGACATGGATTCTGGTCCTAGGTTCTAGCCAATGGGATGTAAGTTAAGGGATATGTGCCTCCCAAAGAAGAGAGTGTGTTCCCCTCTTCATGCCTCTCTCCCTTGTGTTGGGTAGAATGAAGACATGAGAGCTAAAGCATAAGTATCCATCTTCTTGAATCATGGAGTGGAAACTACACTCCAGAGAAGCAATAAGATGAAAGGGACATGGTCCCTGCTGAACACAGAGGCCCCACACAACGCTGCACTGCATGCCTTTGGATTTCCTCCACATAAGGCAGAAACAAATGCCTACTTCACTGAAACCACTGGTATTTGGCTTTCTGTCACAAGTCTCAGTATCCTAACTGTGTCAATGCTTCTGAGAAGAGGGTCCACTTGTCACTTCCGTCCAGTTCTCAGAGGGGACCTTGGCTCCCCTAAAATATTAAGAACCACTGGCAAAATGAATTGAGGCTGAATGAATAGTGGGTGCCCTGGGAGGTATTGTTTGAGAAGGACCCGAGGGAGCCTGCTAGGGGCAGGAAATTCTCAATAACTTGATCTTGGTGAGATTTTGGCTTATACATAAGCAGAAATCTGTGGCACTGTGCCCTGAAGATCTGTACTGTCCTGTGCACACAGGAAGAACTATGATAGTGAGGATGATGGCAATGACCAATGTTTTCCTGAGCGGTTCGTTTATGCCAGGCACTGTTCTAAACACTCTGTATTGGTCCACTCAAGTCTCATAATAATCCTCTAAAGTAGAATCATGAGTACGCCCCCTTCCTCAGATAAGGAAATCCAGCACAGAGAGGTGAAGGTCTGGAACGCCAGGGCACTGGAGAGACGAGTCAGCCAGCCAGCCGTGGTAATACTTACAGAGTCCTTGAGTGCCAGGAAACAGTGGCAGATCCAGCGGCGGGTGGTCCCATCACGGCAGATATAGGAGAAAGCCTTGTCCAGGTTTCGGTCAGGAGCACAAAAGGAGACCTTTTCAATGGTCTGGTCTACCAGCAGATCCTGGGCAGGGCGGGAAGGCCAGGAGAGGAGTGTGAGCTGTCTTTCATGTATTCACTCAACATCCCCTTGCTGTCTACTGAAAACCCATCTTGAACGGGACGGAGACCCAGCAGTTACTGAGACAGCCGTGGGCCCTGCCTGCAAGGGGCTCCCAGTTCCATGTCAGATCTGCCATAAGATGAAGACAGCCCAGGCAGTAATGAAGGAGGCATGGGCAGAAGAGTGAGGACCAGGATGAGGAAGGACAGCCTGAGGAGACAGGGCCAGGAGCGGGAGGCACAAGCAGAGGGGATGAGGCTGGGAGGAAGAGGCACAGGTGTAGGGGGTGGGGCCAGGATGGAGAAAGCCAGTTTGGGGGCAGTCAGGCAAAGCTTCCTGGAGGAGGATTGAACTAGGCAAAAAGGCAGGGAACAGTATTTCGGGCTGAAGAAACTGCCTGTGGCAATCCTGTTCTGTCAGTAACCCAGTTCTCAGCCCCTCCTGGGCAGCTCCTTGGGCAGTCTCTGGACTAGGGGCAGGGGATTCAATGGTTAGCAAGCAGATGCCAGATTCTGGCCTCATGGTGCTTCTGTTAACTTGGGTAGACTGACAATAAATATATAATAACTAACAATTGATTTGAACACTTAATGTGCTGGGCACCCTTTTAAACAGATTGCATATATTTTTTCATTTAATGGTAGGGTCTATTATTATCTCCATTTTTTTTTGAGTTGGAGTCTCACTCTGTTGCCCAGGCTGGAGTGCATGGCACGCTTATGGCCACCGCAGCCTCGACCTGCTGGGCTCAAGCGATCCTTCTGCCTCAGCCTTCCAAATAACTGGAACCACAGGTGCATGCCACCACACCAGGCTAATTTTTATTTATTTATTGTAGAGATGAGGTCTTGCCAAGTTTCCCAGGGTGGTCTCGAACCCCTGGACTTAAGTAATCCTCTTGCCTCCACTTCCCAAAGTGCTGGGATTACAGGCTTGAGCCACTGCATTCAGTTTATTATCTCCATTTTTCAGATGATGCAGCTGAAGCCCAGAAGGGTTAAATCTCATGCCCAGCGTCCCCACGCTGTAATCAGAGCTAAGGTGGCTGGTCCAGTCTGTGCTCTCACCCACCATCTACAGCAGCTCACAAATAACCACAGCACTCAGGCCCGAATTATGACAATGAGGTGAGCACAAGGCGTGTCTGGAGGGTCCCTGAGGAAGGCGTATCCTAGAGGAGGTGGGGAGGCCTCCTCCACCCCAGTTCATGCACGGTGAAGAGAAGGGCCCACTGGTGTTCACTCTCATCCCCACCGGCCTCCTACCTTGGTCTTGTCATCCACCACGCGGAGCCCATCGGCTGACACCCATAGCACAGACTTCACAGACTTTCGGCCCATCTGGGGTGAGGGAGAGGGACAGGGAGCCTGGTCAGGGCTGCCTCTTTCCGTCTGGTCTTGCCCCTCCCTCTCGCCAGCCCCTCACTTACCGCCTTCAGCTTCTTCACAGCGTCTTCACACACATGCATTCCTCGGGATTCCTCCACCTCTACGTGGCCCAGGTACTTGGGTGGGGACATGGAGGGACATGAAATAGCACAGTCCTCAATAAACCCCAGTGTTCACTGAGTATTTGCCATGCATCAGACAACATTCTAAGCACATGATATGTATTCATTCATCAATTTTGTACCTTTGTTCTACCAGGTGGATACCCAGGTCCTAGCCCAGACATGCAGATGAGAAAAGTGATTCCCTGCCAGGGCAATATCCCTAGGCCTTAACACCACACTCTGGTCCTTTGGGTGCCAATATTTGCATCTCTGTGCCTGAGCACGGGCCCCAGGCCACACAAAGCTGCTCTGCCCACCCTAAAGCAGAAAGAGCCTGGGTCAGTGACCCACAATGACTGGTGGGAATAAGGGTACCCCAGCCCTGCTCCCTCACCTGCAGGTGGGATGAGATCTCCCAGAAGTCCTCATTGGGAGGCTTAGTTGCCTGCAGCGGCAAGCCATAGTAACACACTCTTTTTTGGCTGCCTTCCCTTCCTCACTCCCACGATCATTTCCTGCATCTCCCAAAAGAGCCCCTCACACTCAGGGTGCGCTTCCGGGAGAAGGAAAAATAAGGTGGAGTAACTACGACCATTATCAGTCATCATCCAGCCAGGATGAGGCTGAGCTCCATAATCCATGCCATGAATCCTGCCATCTCCCTTATAAAAATGTAGTGTATACTGTAAAGAGTCAGGGTTGTTTAAACTAGAAACTCCTTAACAGTAGTGCTATGCAAATGCTATAGAATGTTCTGGTGGTAATGACTCCACTGAAAATTGTGAACCTGCATAGGACAGGGTGAGCTCCGACACGACAGCTTCCAAGGAATATTTTCCTGGTATGAGAGATTGTGGGATGTGGCTTGTGTTTTGTTTTCTTTTTTTTCTTTCGTTTTTTTTTGAGTTGGAGTCTCACTCCGTTACCCAGGCTGGAGTGCAGCGGCACGCTCATGGCCACACCACGGTAGACCTGCTGGGGTCAGGCAATCCTTCCACCTCAGCCTTCCAAGTAGCCGAAACTACGGGTGCACGCTATCACGCCCGGCTAATTTTTTTTTAATTGTAGAGATGAGGTCTGGGCAAGTTGCCCAGGTTGTTCTAGATCCCGCGAGCTCAGACAATCCCCTCACCTCAGCCTCTCAAAGTGCTAGGATTACAGGCTTGAGCCACCACGCCCAGTCGTGGCTTGGTTTTTAATACCGACTTTGAAAGAAGTCTGGAAGTTCCACAGTTCTTTGAGGACTTAAAGTCTTTTCCTTAAGACATAGGACCTTTAGCGATCTTGCTGGGCGCCACATAAAGGGCCCTCCTAGTGCACATAATCCTGCAACCTAGAGCACCAGGCTTCTTAGCCAGACTCACAGCAGAGCGGCCCCACCCACCGCCGCGCGCCCCGCCCACTCACCCGGACCTGGAAGCTGCACGTGCCTTTGCGCACCGCGTCCTCGTCTGCCTGCCACTGGTGTGGGCGTGACGCCTCGGGCACATAGGCTGGCTTCCTTCGCCGCAGGCTCTGCCGTAACTTGTTCATGGTGCCCGCCCCGTCTGGTGACACAGGACAGCAGTGTGGGTCAAAGGTGGAGGTCAGAAGGTATGGGGGGGCTCAAGGGGAGGGAACACAGTGCTCTGGGAGCATAGGGTCAGATAACACGAGCTTGGGTTACAGGGTCATTTGGTTAGAGGACATGGGATCAGCACCTCGAGTTAGGGGACACCGGGAAAGGAGCAGCGAAAGGCAGGAGAGTGAGAACTGAGCAATGGGGATTCAGAAGAATAAGGCTAAGGGAAACAGAGGTCTGGGGGGGAGGTTATGGATCACAGGTTTTAGGAGTTTGGAGGTTGGAATTTGATGGACAAGAGGCATGAGGTTCCAAAGGATGGGGAGTCAGGCATTGGAGGGCATGGGTGTAGAGGGCACAGGGGTCAAGAGTCACAGGGCCAGGACATAGAGTGAGGAGTTGGGAACCGCACACATCAGGGGTGCAGGAATCAGGCGTGGGGAGTGTGGGTGTGAGGAATGGTGGCTTATTTCTGTAACTCTGAGACACAGCCACTCAGTGACAACTGTGTCAAGTCTCAGACAAGGTTTCTGGGGTAGGGGGATAGGTGTGTGGGATGGGGGTAGAGGTGGTCAGTTACTTGGACAGTCTTCACTGATTGATAAGCCAGATGGCTGGGTGTGGTGGCATATACCTATAGTCCAAGCTACTTGGGAGGCTGGAGTGGGAGGATCACTTGAGCCTGGGAATTGGAGACCAGCCTAGGCAACATAGTGAGACCCCCGTCTCAAAAGAAGAAAAAAGGCCAGGTACGGTGGTTCATGCCTGTAATCCCAGCACTTTGAGAAGTGGAGGCAAGAGGATTGTCTGAGCTCAGGGGTTCGAGACCAGCCTGGGCAACTTGGTGAGACCTCATCAAGCCTGGGGGATAGAGTGAGACTGCAACTCAAAAAAATCAGTCAACAAATTAGCCAAGCATGGTGGCATGTGCCTGTGTTTCCAACTGCTTGGAAGGCTGAGGCAGAAGGATCACTTGATCCCAGGAGGTCGAGGCTGTGGAAGCTATGAGCATGCCACTGCACTTCAGCCTGGCTGACAGAGTGAGACTGACAAAAAAATTTAAAAAACAGACTGATCAGCCATCCTGACAGTCCCAGGAGGAGAGTGAGGGGACACACAGGACTGGGAGCACCAACAGCAGATGGGGACTGTGTGTGTGTGTAAGCAAATGTGCTATGATGTGTTTTGGAATGGTGTCTGTGAAGGCAGCAATAGCTGAATGTAACTATGGTCTGTGAGTGTATGTATTTCTGAAGACTCTTTGGAAGAATGCATGTCTGGGAATGGTTTATGAGAATATGCATCTGAGAATGCTGAGAATGCTGAGGGATCTGTGTCTATGAAGGTTGTGAAGTAGAAGTCCCTGAAGTTTGTTGCTGAAGGGCATTGATGTCTGAGTGGTTGTGAGTGTGTCAATGCATGCTGTGTATGTCTAAAAGTGTACTTGTTGTCTTTAAGAGCTTGCATTCAGTGCATATTGCCTGTGGGGGTGTGTCTGTGTGTCTTTGAAAGAGTATGTTGACCAGCCACGGTGGCTCACACCTGTAATCCCAGAACTTTGGGAGGCCGAGGTAAGAGGATTGCCTGAGCCCAGGGTTTGAGACCAGCCTGGGCAACTTGGTAAGACCTTGTCTCTAGAATAAATTAAAAAACTAGCCAGGCGTGGTGGCGTGTGCCTGAGGTTCCTGCTACTTGGAAAGCTGAGGTGGAAGAATCACCTGAGCCCAGCAGGTTGAGGCTGCCGTGGCCATGAGTACGCCACTGCACTCCAGCCTGGGCAACAGAGTGAGGCTTTGATTCAAAAAAAAAAAAAGAAAAAAGAAAGAAAGAGTATGTCTGTGTGGTGGCATGCACCTGTAGTTCCAGCTACTTGGAAGGCTGAGGCGGAAGGATCATCTGAGCCCTGAGTCAAGGCTGTGGGGGCTGTGAGTGAGACTCTAACTCAAATAAATAAATACATACATAAAAATGAAAGAGTATGTCTGTGGCTGTTGTCCGTGAAGCTGTGTCTCTGTGTGAAGATGTGGCTGTTGTCTGTGATGACACTGCCCCTGTGAGTGCATATGAGTGCATATGAGAGACCCATGAAACCATGTCTATGTCCAAGAGTGCAGTTATTGCTGGTTAGACTGTGTGGCTGTTGTCTTAGAGAGTGTGGATGAATGGGTGAGGGTGTGTCTGTGTATAGTAGTTTATCTATGAGTATGTGCCAAAACATGAGCTTCTTGTCTTTGGGAGTTTGTTCATGAATATTATGTGTAAGCATGTAGCTGTTGTCTATGTGAGTGCTAAAAATTCTTTGTGAGACTGTGTCTATGCAAAAGTGTACCTCTTTGTGAGAGCCTGCACCCACGGGTGCTGTTGTGAGGTTCTGTGAAAGTGTAGTTGAAGCTGGGCTCGGTGGCTCAGCCTGTAAATCCTGTGCTTTGGGAGGCTGAGGTGAGTGGATTGCCTGAGCCCGCAGGTTCGAGACCCACCTGGCAACTTGGTGAGACCTTATCTCTACAATAAATCAAAAAATCAGCTGAGCGTGGTAGTGCATGCCTGTAATTCCGGCTACTCGGAAGGCTGAGGTGGAAGGATCGCCGGAGCCCAACAGGTCGAGGCTGCAGTGCAGCCACTGCACTCCAGTCTGGGCGACAGAGTGAGACTCCAACTCAAAAAAAAAAAAAAGTGTGGTTGCTCCCTGTATAAGTGTGGGCTTGTGCATACTGTCTGGGAGACCATATCTAAGAGTGTATATCTGAGCATCTGTATCTGGCGAGTGCCTGTGATCACCTGAGTGAACGAGTCTGAGTGTTGTCTGAGAATGTGTCTGTACGTTTGTGCGTATGGATCCATCCATGTGAACATATTCTGTGTATGTGACTTTTGGTATGAATGAGCACCTACTTAAGCACATCTTCAAGTGCGTCCGTCACTGTGCTAACAAGCTTGTGTGAGGCTGGGCGAGGCGGCTCATGCCTGTGATCCCAGGTGAGAGGATTGTCTGAGCCCAGGGATTCGAGACTAGCCTGGGCAACTTGGTGAGACCTCATCTCTACAATAAATCAAAAAATTAGCTGGGCGTGGTAGCACATGCCTGTGGTTCCAGCTGCTTGGAAGGCTGAGGCAGAAGGATCGCCTGAGCCCAGAAGGTTGAGGCTGCAGTGGCTGTAAGCATGCCACTGCACTCCAGCCTAGACGATAGAGTGAGATCTCAAATCAAAAAAAAAAAAAGAAAGTGTGTGTGGATCTGAAAGAGACTGTCATCTGCAGATGTGTGTCTGAGTGTGTGTGACCTGCATCTGTGAGTGGGAGGATATCAGTGTGTGTGTGTGTCTGTGAATTCTGATAATCACTGAGGATGCAGGGAAGACATTTGAGGCTGTTCACTCATGAATGCGATTAAGTCTGTATGACTGTGGGGACAGTTCCTCTGGTCATGCTAGGCAGACCCATCTACCCACTCAGCCCCTGCCCTGTCCCAAGCTGGGCACTCACCTGGCTCCGTCCTGGAGGTTTCAGGGGGCCCCAGGGCCCCACAGGGGGCTGGGGGCAGATGCTGCTCAGGCCTCCTGGGTGCACCCTGCCCAAGAGAGGGAGGAAAAGGTAAGAAGTTTGTTTGGGGTGGGGCTCAGTCCCCTACCTCACCCTCCTTTGGATTTTGGTCAGCCCCCTCCATCTCAGGCTCCCTGATGAGAGCCCTAGTTGTCATAGCAACCGTTACCAGGGAGATCAGCCAGCTGGTTCCAAGGGCCCAGAAAGGAGTAGGTGTTTGGGGGGACATTTGTTGGGGACAGACTAGCCTCAGGAGGCCCTCAATACTCAGGGGGATGGTGTGAGAGTGGTCTTCCTCTCTAGGCAGATGTCCAGGACCACATAAACGTCCAGTCACACGTATGCAACCAGCTCATGTCTATAGTTATCCCTAGCACGAGGTTAGCATATAGCTCTGCACACTTGGTTACTCACAGACACAATCACAGCTACACACCTCGGATACACAGAAACAGTCATAGCCTAGCCGGGCGTGGTGGCACATGTCTGTGGTTCCAGCTACTTAGAAGGCTGAGGTGGAAGGATCACCTGAGCCCAGCAGGTCAAGGCTGTGGTGGCCGTGAGCGCGCCACTGCACTCCAGCCTGGGTGACAGAGTGAGACTCCGACTCAAAACAAAAACAAAAACAAAAAGAAAGTAATAGCCACAGAAAGCTGCCACTGTAAACATCTGGCCCATGTTTATGTTCACAGATGCACACAGTCTCTATGACAGACATTCATCCACATATATGTAGGGTGACCTGGCCTGCCTAGGCCCCGCCACAGACACCTGGTCACACTAACTACTGACATTTAGTCACTCCCACTTTCTCAGCCACCTACAAAGAACTGGGCCCAGGCACATCCACTAGAGTGTCACATGCACAGCCACACCCAGTGACAGTTATGTTTCCTTGGGCACCCACCCAAGAGACTGATGTCACAGGCCCACCCAGGCGGAATCACACCCAGAGTTCACCCATTTGGCCACCCAGTCACACACTAATGCGATCACAGCTACACACACACGTCACACATACTCCACTGCTCCACACTGACGTCTGGTCACGGATACACACAGACTGACACACATTTGCTCTCACAGAACCCACACACAGGCAGAGCTGCACGTGGACATTCAACTTCAGCTGTATCCGTCACACTAACTCCATTTTTGGTCACATGCTGTCATAAAGTCACTCATACCCAGTTACAGATGCTCTCATTTGGTAACAATATCAGTCATACAGTCTTTTATAACAGCCACACTTACATGGACAGCCCTCTGTACACAACCACACAACCATGCATTGAGATACTGATGGCCATAGCCTTGTACATTATACAAACACAAGGTATGGCATGCAACCACCCAGAAACAACTTTCCCCAAGGATGGCCACCCTCAGACACAGCCATACACATTCTAGAAGTAGTCTTGCATTTATCCAGTCAACCATCATAGTCACAATCCCATCACCCAGTATCCCATACACAGCTGTATCATGTCACACCACCACAGAGAACCACGCTGTCTTTCTTCATGCAGACACACAAGGCACACAGACAAGTCTGTGGCCACATATAATCACAGACCCATGTGGACAGGTGTACAAAGTCACAGCCCACCCGCAGAATGCCTCACACTAAGAGATATAAGCGTACAGTTTCAGTTTCCCACCTCACAAGTACACAGTGCAGGTGTATGCACAGAAATGCAGTGACCCAGATGTGGCGTTTATAGCTGGGTTTACACAGAACACATGGGTCCTGACAAAACCATGTGCGCAGCCAGTCACCTCATCCCCAAATCACAAAAATTCAAACACAGGTCATCCAGCATGCATGTGCCCTCATATACACACACAGAGACAAAAATAGGCACACAGCTACAGACACCCACATGCTCACAGACTATGACAGACACAGCACATATACTTACCCAGGGTCACTGACATGCAGGTCACATACAGAAGCCAGTCACATACACAACCCCACAAACACACACCGTTACCTGGCACCAGCACACAGACATGTCCATAGTCTTAATCTCACACACAATTAAATAACTCCTCATAATGGGGTTTCAGACACCAAGTCAAATACATACCCCAGATCACACATACAAGACTATAAATACACATGATCACTCAGTATCACACACAGAGCTAGAGATAGTCATTTATGCAACCCCAGTCACACATCCAGACATGGTTATGCATACGCAACCACTGTCAAACACCATAACATCACACAACCCCAGTCACACAGACACACTGTGACTTCAGATACAATGGCAGTCACACACCCAGAGTTGCTCAGGCAGTTGTGTGTCGCTCATGTATATAAAGTCAGGTACACACACAACCACAAACATTCTCAGTCATCGGGAAGATCACACAAGCACGTGGATTCACAGACACAACTCCACTTACACACATAGTCACAACTCCACCCACATCCTGTCAGTCACACACATGCCCAATTCCAGATTAACACGTATACTGTCACATATCTATCCAGTTATAGTTACCAGGGCACACAAACACAGGGTCACAAAAGACAATCACAGATACAACCACACAGTCAACAACCATGCACACACTCAAACACAGGCAGACTAAAAAGTACAGGGTTCTGTACAGTGAGCAGCTGTCATACACACATACACAGTCACACAAATACTGGGGTCACACACAGACACAATCCCAGACACCACCACAAGCATGCACACAGGCACACAACACAGTCACCAGCTACAGCGCATGCACACATACACAGCCATAGTCACACAAACACAGGGTCACACTCCTAGCCACCTCCCCATCGCTTGCTTTCCCCCCTTCCCCCCAGGTACCACACACAAAGCCGCCGTCACCATCACCACAGATGCTGCAGACAGACAGGGCTGCACTAGGTCCCTGGGGAACCGCCCCCAGACCAGCCTGAATCCTGGAGCCTAGGGGGGCAGGTCTATGAGGGGGAGGCAGTGCATTGTTTGCGGGTGGGGCCTCTCTCAGACAGCTGGGCAGCCCTGGGGACAAAGGGGTGGCCTTGGGGACCTATGTCCTGGGACCCTTGACCAAGCCCGGGTTAAGCCAGGGTTATCTGAAATTCTCCTTATTCAGGCTGGGGTGGGTTGGGGTGGAGTTCCAGGAACAGAGACCTTGTTTTGAGAAGGGGCTGTGCCTGGGACGCCGCCCAAGGGTCGGGGGGATGCTGTGCCCAGGACGCCTCTGAGGCCTGGGGCAGACTGCCTGGAATCCCCTCAGGCCTTGGTTTGGTGGGAAACCTGTACCCAGGGACCCCATCCTCAAGACCTTGCCAAGGGGGTGGTTGTGTTCAAAGATCCCGAGGCAGGGAGGGGTCAGGATTCTGTCTGGAATAGCCTCCTGGAGGCCTCAGTTCCGTATGGGGGCTGTGTCCCACACCCCATCCCCAAAACCTTGCCTAGGGAGTTGTACCTAGAATCTCTGTGCCCCTGTCCTTGATATCTTGGGGGTTCTATGTTCAGGATCCCTATTTCCAGGGCTTGGCAAAAAATGGCCCGGGGTCTCTGCCCAAGACCCCCGGCTCCCGGGCTTTGGCTTCGTGGGGGCCCGTTCCTGGACCCCCACCCAGGACAACCCTCTCCAGCCTTGGCACCCTCTCTCCATCCG